CGCGCCAACCATCACTTCAGCCTGTTAGCATATTATTAATCCGCTTTCATAACGATCCGTACTTCTCTAGCACAACGACCTCAGCACAACCTGAGAACATCCCGCTCAGCCCAGTTGCAAGCAGAGGTGGAACATCTGCACGCAGCTTCACCTAGCTCCTTGCATATGTTTCTTATATCTCCTAAAATATTCCTGACAAATGCGGTTGTCCATCACTGTCAACACCTTCTTCCCTGCTTCAATTCCGACTCTAGTCTCGATGCAACTACAAAACACACAAGTCCAAGAAATACTTTTCCAACCAGGCTAACCCACGGGTCAATTTTGCCTTCACTTCCTTGGGCTCTTTTTTCTGCAGCCAGTTGAACAAAACCCAGTTTAAGTAGGCCAGCAGCAATTCCTTTTTTATTCCACACCTATTGATACAGGAATACGCTGCTCTTCTCTCCCTTTCTCCTGCACCAAAGGACTTTCCACTTCTTTTTTCTTTTCTTTTTTTAGATTAGACCTTGGAGAGCCTTTAGCTTATCTACATGAAGCGTTCTCCCAGACCATCCCCAAGAACGCCTGTTGGAGAATGTGGCATCAGACATTCAGATCAGACACCTAAAATATTTTAACCAACTATTTTTACTACTGCCTACCAAGACATCCAGTTCATTTGCTCTAAGAGTTCAGCACCTTCAAAGCCTCCTATGAACAAGAAATTCTCATGATCTCTCAAAGGCAAGTTAGATGCACGTGACCGAGTTTCTGAATGAGGCGACTGCGCACAGAACAAAGAGCTCAACACTGTTATTTTAATGGATTTTCAATTCTGTTGCCAGGTCAGTAATCCTTTGTCTCCCACTGTTGCTCAGAGACTTCAAAAACCCCAGCTGGGGTGGAATAGTCAGTGTTTGTTTTATCTAGGAGGACATCACACAGAATGGTTCTTTCTAAGCAAATCAATTTATCTGCTGTTGACAGCAAGTATTCATCAGCAGCGATGCCGAGTCGTACAGCTCAGGAGGTTACTAAGAGTGCACTAGGCACACAACTTCCACCTATCAATTTGACAAACATCCCAAACCATTTTATTTGCCTTTATTTCCCTTCCTGAGGCTTGATCATCCATCAAACTTACTGCTTGTGGCGTGCTGCACAGCAGTGCTGGAAAAGGCTCTGACGCAGTAAAACCAGAATTGTTGTTTAAGATCAAGAATCATCAGCAGGA